AGCTTGCAGTGAGGCTGGATCTTACCATCATAAATAGTCCATGCTCGTGGGAAAAGTGCATGGTAAGTAGAGTCTCCTCCATCCAATCCCCAGTCCCATGAGTTGATTCCGTGGTCAATTTTGCGCTTCGCCATGTTGCATTTCAGTCCCTGTACAAACCTAACGACCAGCCCCCCATAAAACAAACAACAGAACGCAGAACATAAACGTACGGCAAAAGACAATCGTTTGCTAGGATACTTTTTCGGGCACCTGCGTTGCCTCTGGCTGCCCGGAATGCCGGGCTGGGTAATCTCTCAGGCAGGGTCCCGGCCCCCAGCCCCCCAGCAGCCCCAGCACAAAAAAGAAAAGAAAAAAGCTAAAAACAATCAAAAAATTATGGCTTGTAGAAAAGCAACGGCTGCAACGCTAACAAATTCTGACTGAGAGCCACCTCAGAATTCCTTACAGAATCAAAGAAAAAAAGGAAAATAAAGAAAACCAAACTAAGGCACACCCGATTAAACCCCTGCGGAGTTCAAACTTCAAACCCAATTTATACCCTCCTTTGCATCCCCCAACATGCAAAACCGAGATACAAAAGACAGCCTAGATTTGGGGTTCTTTCGATGGGCACAGAAATGTCCCTCCGCCGGGCAAAAAAAAACAATCCCCACACTTCTAAAATGCCCGGTTTTCCCCAGCAGCCCATTACAGGTAACCTAGCGATTTTGTAAAAATAATAGAATACTGTGTACCCTGAGAAGCAGTGTTGCACAGCCACTACATGGTAGAGCCTACACGGGTGTGTACGGACGTATGTAGGGAGGACATTACGAGTAGGCAAAACCCCATGTAGGTGCAAACTTGTCCTGAATAAAACACCGCATTAAATCTCTCTGTCTCTCTCTCTCTCTGTGTGTGTGTGTGTGTGTGTGTGTGTGTGTGTGTGTGTGTGTGTGTGTGTGTGTGTGTGTGCATGTTGTATGTTGTAAATTGTCACTACAACAGCGGCAACAGCCCCTTCTCCAAAACTGAAGCAGTTTTACCTCTGTAGAAAACGATGAAGTACACGAAAACACACGGAAGCACACTAAAGATGAGCAAATCCAACATCAAAACAGAAGTATCTTAGGCAGCACACGAAAGCACACGGAAGCACACTAAAAATGAGCAAATCCAACATCAAAACAGTTGTATCCTAGGCTACCAGAATGGCCCGGGACAACTTGCCCCGCCGGGCCAAAAATAAAATAAAAAGTTAAAAAAAACAAAATAAAATTCTATTTTTAATTTGGTACAGAATTTCGATGTGACCCCGGGGCAAAAATTGTTCAGTTTATTTTTCTGCATAACATAGTTTTTTTTTTGGATTTTTTGGTGTCTTTTTTTTTTTTTTTTTTTTTTTTTTTTGCTGGGACCTTTCCTGGACAGTTTTTTTTGGGGATTTTTTGGTTTTATTTTTTTATTTATTTTTTTTTTGGGACTTTTCATGGATCTCAAACTGTCGGGCTATCCGGGAAAACAAGGTGACCCAGGCGGTCCAGCTGGTAGCCTAGGTTTTATCTCTATATAAGTGTGTTGAGATATTCACCACAACAGCCCCTGTTCCACCCAGATGAGAAGATAAAAAATCAAAGCAACTTTACCTCTATTGCAGACCTTGAGATGAGCCAATGCAACAATGAAACAGTTTTACCTCTATAGCAAGCAACACGCAGCAGAACAGAATAGATGATTATAATATCATTATATCCCTTCCTTGACTATCTTTACTTTAATGTGTGTGCGTGTATTCAACTTCTTGCATCAGGATTTGAACTTCTCAATCTCTAATCTGTTTATCAAGGGCTATACATGTACGTGCAATTCAGTCGCAAGGCGGGAGCACACAGCTCACAAAAACTGATCACACAGGGTCACTGATATGTAAAGAACCCTGTGAGAGAGACGATTTTCCTTCTTTTTTCTTTTTTTTTTCTAACCAAAACACCCAAGCCCCTTCTATTCTTGGGGGCGTCAGTCCAATTGCTTATCACCGGCAAGCTTTAGTACAAAAAAAAGAGCCAAAAGAAGTTTAAAGAACAGAGCTGAAAAAGAGTCAGCCTACCATCTTCACCCGAATAGAGTGCACGGTCATTATAGCCATATTTGGTGGACGTTTAAGTCCAGATACAGCTATAATAACCAGGCGTTCTATTCGGGTGAAGACGGTAGCCCTTGGAGTGCGAGTCACCTACTCAAAGGGGGGGCTGCTACTAGCCGATCACCCCCCAGACAATTGCTTTCCTAGGGGGCTTCTGCTGGCCGGGAAGCTTACTGGCAGCATCTAGTCACGCAGCGGAAGGACTCTAGGAAAGGCGAAGGGGTGGGGAGAGGGACGATTTCCATGAAAGAACGATTAAATTATGTTGTCAAACTTTCAAAGAAATGCTATGCTCCATCTGCAAGGCTCGTTAGGACAACTCTTTCTTGAAACCGCAAATGGTTCTGCAGCTACCCATCCATCCCACAAAATGCTACAATGCAGACACAGCCTCTACGTTTGAGCAAAAACACTTGAAAAATTTGCTAGACAGTAAACACTGTAGTAAACAGTGTAAACACCATCAAAATTTTGAAATCGTAAAATATAAGCATAGTTCTAAACACCCCCGGCATTGAAAATTGCAGAATTTCTCTCTTAGGACCCTTACGTCTTTGCACCCCACCAGATTGGGGTACATCATACATGGACACGAAAACTAGATAAGGAACCAGGACCAATGCAGACTGCAAGGTCATTGCAATAGTGTGCCATTAAAATGGGTCCTTTACTTCAAAGGAGTATCAAACAAAAAGGACAAAGATTGTCATTGCTAGAGCACACGTCCTTCGGGRCATTCGTTAAAATAGGAACGATACAGAGAAGATTARCATGGCCCCTGCTGCACRTGGATGMGAAAAAAAGGAYGTTAGAGMYCACTAATGCTGAGTCACAGCTGGGCCCAGTTCAGGGGTCAAATGCATTCTGTCAGTTGGCCCCAGCTGCAAAAGTCCCCCCAAAACAGGGCAAGCACCAGTTGTGAATCTGTGGGGGGCTTACTTGGACGTCTCCTCCTTTTTCCCCGGATACAACACTGAGCTGTATGACTGTAGCTC